CAATCCCCACCACGCGCCTAACTCACGGGCAAGGAATCCACCCTCCCCCCCTCCTCAGGCCGGCACGTCCCCCTCCCCCTCCACGCGCGTGCGCTTCTCACACAGCTTCGCCGACCACTCTCACCCCCTGCCCCGCCGCAAGTGGGGATCCCCCCTCTCCAGACCCGCCACTTAGGGAGCGCTCCCGCCTCCCCCGCCGCCTTCTCCACTGCCCGGGCTCAGGGCAGCAGAGATCTGGGCGTACGGGCAGAGGGAATGAAACACTCACCGGTTCCACAGTCGCCATCTTAGATCGATCTGATCGCACACAAGCGCAGCGGGGAGGGGAGAGGGCGGATAAAAAATCAGATTCAAACCCGATTGGTTGCCAGTGGGTCACGTGAGGCCCACGGCCGTTTGAAGGGAGCTCGGCGCCTGCGCAGGGCGGGGAAAGGAGGGGGAGCGGCGCCTTCTGGGAACTGTAGTCGCGGGGCGGGGGGGGGGATGAGAGGGAAGGAGGCCGGTGCCCCTCCCCCTCCCTGCCTCCCGCCCACAGGAGAGAGACAGTCACGTGGCGGAGGGGGAGGCAGACAGGGGCGTGCCAGGCTGGGGCCAGGGGGGTGCCAGGCTGTGCCTGAAGGGAAGGGACCCCCTAGCGGCCAGACGCGGTCACTGCAGGAGCGTGCGCGTCACCTCTGCATCCCTGTTAGGTACGGCCTGGCCTGACGTTGCCCCTCCCGGGGGGGCGGCCGGGGGTGTCTGCACTCACAATGCATGATGCAGTCCTGCCCCCCTGCACCAGGGCACCCTCAGTCCAGAGGAGACTGAGACGCCCTCCTCAATGGGAAGATAATCACAATCTACATTACATCTTATTTAGAAAATACCGGACAGTTCTAGTTTCTCATGTAGATTTTCTCAATTTGTTTCCGGAACAGAAAGCTCAAATACTGGACTGTCTGGGTCAAAACTGAACACCTGGCAACCCTAATGCCAGATTAGGCTGGTCGGTATTAAAAAAAAATTAACAACAAATAGTCTAGTAGCACTTTAAAGACTAACAGAACATGTAGATGGTATCATGAGCTTTCCTGGGCACAACCCACTTCTTCAGACTGTGCCCATGAAAGCTCATGATACCATCTACATGTTTTGTTAGTCTTTTAAGTGCAACTAAACTGTTCTTTAAGTTTTTCCTGTTACAGACTAACTCGGCTACCCCTCTGTGTTAGAAAATTAAGTTGGCTTACTTGTTTCGCTCTGAGGTGTGAAAAATCTCTGGGAAGTGGATTACCTATGCTGGTGGCAACCTTTCCACTTGGGAGGGTTGTGTCTGCACTCAAGCTCTACAGTGCTGCTGCTGTAGCATTTTAAGTGTAGACATATGCTTAGAAAGACAAAGTGGCGAGGCAATATCTCTTACTGCAGAAACTCCTGCTCATACAAGAGACAAGCTTTTGAGCCAGACAGAGCTCTTATTCAGGTCTGGCGAGGGTACTACCAGCATCACAGCAAAATGTAAGTGCAACAGATTGTTTAGCATAAGTAGTTAGCAGAGATAGTAAGGGACCATTCCTACACCTATCTCTCTTTATAAACAGAAGTTGGTTCAATAAAAGATATTACCTTACCCACCATGTCTCTCTATAGGGATGTAAAAATTCATTTAAAAAGATAACCCCGTTACTGCTAAAATCCTAGCGGTTACACAGTTACATGCTGCAGGTTACAAAACCTCCCGGGAGCAGAGCTGGCAGACAGCATCTCTACAGTTGCAGAGTATTTGGGTCATAACTTCCTCTGTCATTGTACCAACGTATACAGTTGTAATTATTTTTCCTTTTTCCTAAAAAACAGGTACTTCCAATCTCTTCTTGATGACAAAGAAAGCTTCCCACTTCCTTAGCACCAGCTTAAGAATTGATACTCTTAATTTATTATTAACAGCAAGAAAATCAAATGCAACTGCCTTGCTCAAAATAAGGAAATAAAAACTAAAAACTGCAGCTTTATAAATGTCACTTGATTGTTTTGAGAAGAAAACTCTTAATCAGCAAGTTACATGAAATAAATAAAATGCTTATTATTCATGGAAACCAGAAAAAACAAGCCCACTTTTGACATCTATCATGCACTTGAGACTGGCCATGAACAAATCACTTCAGTAAGAACAAGATTTTTCAGTCGAGTATTGGACAAATAAGAATTTTATTATGAAGATTTTTTATTCACCAGGAAGTTTTCAGATATTAGTCAATTATTTATGAAGAAATATGGCAACAAGTTACATGGCAGCCTAAAAAGTGCATGACGTTTAGATTAAATATACAATGGCCTCAGATCACCAGAAACATCCTTCTTTGTACTACTACACTCATATGCTATTCTGTGTCTAGAATACTATACACAATTCTGAGTACCAGTAAGATGTTGACAAATTGGAGGCAATATAGGAGTTAAAGCGTAGAAGCACTGACTTTTTATGGAAACATTTAAAAACAAGTAAATCTGTATATGCTGGCGTGATGACAAAGGAAGTTGTGACAAATGTTATAGAAGGTTCATACAGATCCAGATGAATTATGCTACCAGTATATAACTCCTATATTATTTTTATCAGTTCTCAGGCCTAAGATTTGTCTCTCTGATCCATACATAATGGGGACAGTAGCATGTTTTGAGGGAAGTGACATTAAGTGTCCACTCTCTCAGGCTGGTTTATATAAAATATAATCCCTGATTTATGTAAATCAGTGCTGTCTTCTGGGCATAGACATGTAGTTTGGACTGTTTGTCTATTTCAATTTTGTTTAAGTTGATTTCTTATTGTTTTGAAAATGTTTTAGTTAACTTGATGCTCAAACCTTACATAGTCAAGAATTATATTCAGCAGGTCCAAGGTGAGGGGAAAATTAGAAACATGTTTCTCCTTAAATCTAACATAAAAGCAACAGGGGGAAGCTGAGTTAGTCTGTACAAGATAAACTTAAAAAACAACAAATTGTCTGGTAGCACTTTGAAGACTAACAAAACATTGACATGTTTTGTTACTCTTTCAAGTGCTACCAGACTATATGTTGTTTTTCAAGTTTATACAAGCAACAGTCTAGGAGTGTACAAGAAAGACAGAGAATTGTAAACTGAAGTTGGACTAACAATAAAACACGGGGAAATATTTTTATTTACAGGAAAACTACTTTACTCCAAAAGCAGCTTTCATAAATATAAAATTATCATTGGTCTTTATGTGTTCCTATTGTTACAAGAAGTCTTACCAACAGTCTCTTTCTGATATTCACTGTGCCCAGGAGACAATCTCTACAGCATTCCACTGGTAACTCTTTTAGCCTGCGAGGAAGAAAAGAAATGTGGTTATGACTCTATCCCTGAATAAAGTTGTTCAGGATGTTCTTACTTCCTTTTTTTCTGCCTTTATTTCAGTGAGAGAGGGTAACCAAATACCTTTCAGTTTTACATTTAGCTCTGGATTCCCAACACACCCATTAACCTGTCACGCCGGCTAGATCTACACTACACCTTTTTCTGATTTTTGGTTTACACTGGGCCAAATTTTGGAAAATCCCCCTCTTTCAGAAGATCCCTTCTTCCTCGTACAACGAGGAAGTCAGGGCTTCTGAAAGAGCACGTTTGCTCTTCCACAGAAAAAAGCAGAAGAGCAAATGCATTCCCTGGATGCGGTGGAGTTTTTCCAGAGTTTCTCCAGTATCCTGGAAAACCCCCGCAGTCTAGACATACCCTCAGACTTTTAGTTGTAAACTCCTAACTAGCAAGTGAGTAAATACATACCTGTCCATTGTAGTTTTCACCTTCAGTATAACTTTCGAAGCATTATGATTCCAAACAAAAGTTCTTTAGAATGTACAGATAGCACCTGGGTTGCCTTGGAGATGTCATGTTTTCATCTTACCAAGTTCTAATGGATCTGGCAGAGTACTTTTATATCACAGGAAACACCTATAAACACCAATGAATAATGGAGTTCTTTAGTGTGGTCCCAACAGTATAATAATTAGTAATGAGATAAAATCCAGCAAAGGAAAATTTAGGCCAAATATGAGATTTTAAAAAATTCTTAACAATGAAGTCTATTGGGTATTGAAATAATCTATTAAAGGAAGTGCTGAAAACCCTATCTAAAGTTATAGTAAAGCAAAACACTTGATTGCACTTTTGGAACAATCCAAAAACTGCTAGTTGATGGACTAATTGGTTTAATAGATGTTTTTCTCCTATAATTTCTGTGATTCTATGAACAGTCATTGACAGTGGAAAACAAAACAATTTTTTAAATCAAAATCATGATCACCTAAGCAATGCCATGCTCTAAATGTGATCCATAATCACATTTTGCATGACTCATTTTATTTGATCAACAGTTTAATAAATTAAAGTGAAAGTCTTGAAGTCCTGGGCTGGGAATAACAGAGAGCTGGAGCCCAATCATAATACTGTTGGTACAACACACAAAAAGCACACCAATCTACTCACAATAAATGTAGCCATTCCTTAAAGGGTCATATGATACCCTCTCACCCTTGTAAAAAAATTCAGCTGAGATTCTCAGCTGCACCCAATAAGCCCTAGACACATGAGGAGAAGGGAGCGCACAGCATCCATTTGTAGCTTCCTGATCCTGGGGCTGATTCTGCACCACAGGGCTGCTATAAACTATTCCAACTGCCAATGGCCCCACAAAGGCCACTCTTGTAGTTCAAGTTTGCTAAAGGGCGCAAGTTCTTGGCTATGCCCCCTTTCCATTGGTCATGTCCCTTTGTCTTGGCCAAATCATCTATACCTGGAGCTGAGAAAGCAGTGGTGCAGAGTTGATTATGTTGGTTCAATATCCCTGTTTACAAAGTTGAAGGTGCATGTCTTCACTGGACACATGAGTTGGATGTAGTGTGTCCTCACTAAGGTAAAACAAAAGACAGGACTATGCAACACTTTAAAGACTAACAAGATGGTTTATTAGGTGATGAGCTTTCGTGGGCCAGATCCACTCCCTTAGATAAATTTGTGGAAGAAAATTGGCATGACCATATATACCAAAGTGATACAATCAAAAAAAGTGAACACATATAAAATCGACTAATCAGATTTTAGAACAGAGGCAGGGTGAGGGGGAAGGTTAGTGTCTGTAAGGTAATGATATTAGGGGTGATAATTGGGGAAGCTATCTTTGTAATGGGTGAGATAATTAGCATCTTTGTTAAGGGTTAAGCAACAGCAAAAGTTTTTTGAATACGTGACACTTAAACACACAAATTAAAGTGGCTGTTCAATACCTAAATCCCTCTTGTGACTGCAACCCCTTTTAGCAAAAATAGTGAGTTGATGCCTGAATACGAGAAAAAGCAACTTTCAGTCAGTAAAAGGCTAGGAGACCCAACCCTCTTCCAATAAAGTAGCTACAGGCAATCCCCGGGTTACGTACACGATAGAGACTGTAGGTTTGTTCTTAAGTTGAAT